TCGCTTTTAACATCGCTGTTTACTCGTCTTTGTGCTCTTTCTCTGTGCTGTTTTAGGTCTTTGTTTACCGTAGCAACTAGCTGTCAATATGGCGGCGTACCCAGAATGCAACGCGCTGTGCCCGTCCCCTATTGCATCCAACTGTGAGCTCACATTGGCTTTGAGAGCAGTGAGCAGGGCGGTGAGCAGCGTTCGGCTAACACTGATGTCCACCAGCTCAGGAAGTGCATCCAGACACTCCATTTTTTTTTTTTTTTATTCATAGACAGATTAGAGTGCGCTTCCTTGAACAAAACAAACAACAAAAAACATTTCTCTGAAATTCATTAGTAATGTGCTGGATGTTGGTAGAAGAAAGCTAAGTTCAAAGAAAAAAACATGGAGGCCCCCAAATAAAAAATAATAAGGTATAACTCAACACATTTCCAAATTACAGTATACAGTATATTACTTTATCTACAGCAATATATGGTGATATTCAGGAGAAAATGACAAATTGTACACATTTTTCTGTGTTGTGTTTTTTCTCAGTGCTTATCCTTAAGCAAATGGAAAAGGTATCTCGAATAGAAAAAATATATATTTTAATCACATTAAAACAAGATTGTTTATAATCTAAGTTCATATCTAAAAATCTCAACTAGTAATGTCAGTCGAAAAGCCAAACTGAATTCAGGAGTAATGTTTTTCCAAGTAGCTCTATGTAGGCAATCCGTGTCAGCTTGGAACTAACTGTTGAATATACATTGCTTAATTCTCTTTTTTACAGAAAAGTGATTATCTTTATTTTGAATATCCATATACTGAATACGGACATAATTTTTATAATTGTAAAAAATGTATAATTGTGTATAATTATAAAATTATATAATTATACAAAATGTATAATTATAATTTATATAATTGTAAGAAATGTAATAATTTGTTTGCAATGCTTCTGTTTATGCAGTCTTGTTCATTGCATACAGTAAACTTAATTTCTGTTGCTATTATTTATTGGACTTTACTAATTTTATTCAAGGTTTTCAGTAATTTTTTTAAATAAGGAAAATACCCCCCAGAACACAGAAATATTTGAACAGACACAACCATCTTTTATTTTTAATTTACATCATGCATTTTATTTATGGCGCTTTATCTATGTTATTCAATCACAACCTTCTTTTTATTATTTTAAAGCACCTCACAAGATTTTTTTTAAGAACGGAAGTACAAAAGTACCTTTAAGTCCACAGAACAGAACCTTTAAAAAACAAATGTTTGCACAAATAGCTGAGTACAGAATGTTCCCATTCAAAAACAAAGAAAACAAAGTAACATTCAATATGCTTTAAGGACTGTGACTGTGTTTGTGCTTCTTTTGGGTGATTTGAGGATGTGTCTGTCTGTGTGAACGCTCCGTGTACGCCTCGCTGGGGCTCAGAATGAAGGCAGAATGACACAGCTGTCACAGCTCAATGATTTAATAACACTGGAGCATCTGCCTTAAAGTCACACCTTTTACTCATTGGCACTGTTTAAGTAAAAGGCAGCATTGTAAGTGGCATAAAATAAGGAAGATGAATCGTAAAAAAAGAAAAATGCTGAATCGAGTGTAAACCTTATAGAGTGATCACGAATATATTGCATTTTCACTTTTTTTATTATCTTGTTCTAATGAGTTCAGACATGCAAATATGTATTTTTTTTTCTTAAATCCCCCTGTGTTCTTACAATTGTAATGGTGGATAAATGCCCTAAAAGAAAATCTTCATGTATGTTAATACAGGTAAGCGGCTACCGTTGCAGTTTTCATTGCATTAGTTTTAGTGTAAATAACCTGCTTGGTAGAAAAGCAACACAAAGTTATGTTTCTCATGCATGTAAACATTCATCTGATCTAGAAAAATAGTAAACATTAATGTCCTTTGAAAGGTTTTGAGGTTGTCATACATGGTACTAATCTAACAAAAATATGAATAGCAATAATGAGAATGAATGAAATTAATGAGAATCTCGTTCACATCAAATCACGATATGCTTGTTGTTTTTTTTAAATCTAGCCTTGGTGAATTGTGTCTCATGATCTGTGCAGATGCTTCTACAACTAGCTGAGCGTGCACATATGTTTGTATAAAAATGATATAACCTGCTTTTCATGTGCAGTTTTGCTTGAAAGTTTACATTCCCATTAAAGACAGAAAAAAAATCAGTGCCAGTAAAATTTATCTTCTTTTTTTAACAAAAAATCTAGATCAATATTTTATTTTACTAAATAATTTTGTATTTTTTATGTATTATTATATATTCAGCTTTGTGTTATTTGAATTACTGGTGTGAATTCATATTTTTTCTTTAATGGGAGGCTATTTAAACTTTCAAGCACAACTGTTTATTAATTACTTTTATAGTTTAAACAATTTTCCATAGATTCCACTGAACTAGTAGGAAGTTAACAGTCTGGAGCACAATCCAAAGGGTTTTTGTCAAAAGCATCAGTAACTGTAAACAAGAGCTTGAACAGTAGGATGTTCCACGCGAACATAAATGCTCGACTTTTCAAGTTCACAAAAAAACAGTACATTAAAACAACTAGAAAGCCCAGTTAAATTAGAAATTTAAGATAGAATTGTTACCTGCATGACATTAAAATTCCTGTTTTTAATGTCATGCAAAAGTTAGAGCTTACTAACTGGTTATTAACATTGTGTTTCCTTAGTTTGATGCTAAGCAGGTTTTCCTCAAGAATTTTTTTCTTTTTTGTCTTGTGCTCGTTTTCTTTTGAAATGAAAACCAAGAAAGCAGTTAAGTTCACCCAGAGTAGAAAAAAAAAAAAAAAAGATTTCAGAGTGCTGAAACAGGTCTGCATCTCACCCTTTTGTTGAGATGCACCCAATGTTGTTAGATGCTGCTTGTAAATTGTAAATTATAGTTACATTTATAAAATGTAATAAACTTCCTTAGATTTTAAATTGTGACCTTATTTTAAACACTTGTTTACAACAAAGCATGACAAAAACTTTAAAGACCGTGTCAAGAGAATTCCCCACTTTTTTTTCTAAACACATAATGGTCATACATGTAGTGCTTTACATATGTAAAAAAAAAAGTTGCCACAGGGCAACAGTGCAAAAAAATGACACGGTGGAACTAAAGGTAAATTGGGGTTTCAATTAGGGCTGCAACTAATGACTATTTTGCAAATTGATTAATCTTATTTGATCTATTAATAATTGAATAGCCAAAGCTTCTTTAAATAATTTTTTTTCAAAATTAAACAAGTGAAACTAAAACTTTTACACTTGAGTTTTGTATAAAGCATATTGACAGACGAAAAATATTTTTTTTTATCTTAAAATGTTTATTTATTTACAATTTTGAGATTACTTCTCTAACTAGGTTGTTCTGTCAGCTAAAAGGCATATTTTAGAGTCTTAATACTTCATTTAATGATTAATCAATTGCTAAATTAGTTAACAATAATTTCAATAATTGATTAATCAGATTCATTGTTTAAGCCCTAGTTTCAATATTCCTGCGCTTCAGGATTTTCTGCATGTCTTAAAGTGCGATGTATTTTTCTTCCTTTAAAAGGGTTGCAATGAAATAGAATAGGATGTGATTTGAGCGACCCAAACAGATCCGCACCAGCATCTAAAAGATAAGGAAACTGATTTTTTTCTCTGTTACTTTTAAGACCTAATTTTAGATGCTTAGTTGTGTTTTTAATCATTCCAATTTGGACAGGTGATTGATAAAACATATTTCTGTGGTGTGACAAACTGAGAAAACACATGTTTTGCTTTACATGAATTGAGTCTTTAAATGAAGGGGAACAGTTTTTAAAAATATTATAGCAGCTCCTTAAAAAATGTTTGAAACCTAAAGAATATTTCATATTTTATAAATGGCTTAATTATCCTAGGGTTCATGCCTGTAAAAAAAATGTAAAGACATCAGAACATTTTTGATCACCTGATCAAGCTTCCTGTTCAAGCTTTAAGATTTCTTAAATACCCTTTACATCGGGTAATAAGCAGTTTTATTTCCTGCAAGTCTCTACTTTTTAAATTCTTAGTGCAACAATTCTTGTTGTTTTTAAGTGATGTATAAGCCATAGTCAGTTTAGAACATGCAGAGCATTCCATTTATCTGAGGGCAACCGAATGGCATCTATATCAATCTCTTTAATGCTTAAAGCTACAGTGTGTAATAATTACAGGGATATACAGTCAGAAATGTAAGATATTATACATAACTATGTTATTTATCATCACCTATGAGCTCAACCTCTTAACCTTAATATTTGCGTTGCCTTAGAATTCGTTATTTATAATTACATAGGAGCGGGTCTCGCAGCCATGGAGGCAGACATCTTTGCGCTACGGCAGCGCAGAGCTAACAAACTAGCGATTGCGAGATCGCCCATTACAATAACATGCTGCGTGATGATGCTGTTACTCTCCAGTATACTTATACAGCAACGTCCCTGACGTTTCACAGGTAATGATTCAGTAATTTTCTGTAAAATAATTTTCTGGATATATACCTCGGTTACTTCTCTCCGTCTCCTTTGGAGATCTTCAAGCCTTTCCTCCTCTGCTCTAGTCACCCCGCTGGCACCTCTCCCTCGCCTGGCCCTGGCTGCACGCCCACCCCGGCTTCTCTGCCCTCTTCCTCACCCTCTTCCTCTCCCTCTTCCTCGCCTTGTAACCCCCGTGCCACAAACAAGACTTGGACTCTGTAAACGGGGAATATATATTCTTCCAGCGAACACAATCTCGCTGTTAAACTAATGACTACAATTACTTCGTCTGTTTATATCACCATGCAAAGCAGCTCACCAAAACGTCACAACGATGTAGAAAAAATAACAGTAATATTTATTATCTTAAGTCTACATGAAATCTATACCCTACACAGACTAATGAAATACTATCTCTAAAATTATCTATGTAAACAAACCTCATCACTTGAGAAGGTAGGTGATGCGGACGTCGTGGAAGACATTTTGTCCCGTAACGCTCGCCGTACTGTTGGGGGGGAGAAGCAGTGGGGGGGAGATGTTCATGTTGCTGCGGTCTGTGGTCTGGACGTTAGATGTCGCTGAAAATTACACACTGTAGCTTTAATTGAACATTTTGAGATTTCCAATTGCTTGGCAGATAAGTCATATCACTTATGTAAATAAATCAAAATTATTTAAGTTATCTAAAATATCTCATAAAGCTGAAGAAGGACTTTCTATTTGGCATTATCTCAATGAGTTTAGGGATTCTAAACGATTTTAGTTAAAGTCCAGGATTTCTCCTATTTTGATTTTTTTTAGGGGTGGTAAGTCATAAATATGTTGGCAGATTTTAAACCAGTTGACTTAAAAGGTTGACAATTTAAAAATTTCAGAATGGGGCTTCAAACAAGAAACAATTCCTAGTTGTTAAAGCAATATCAGGTTGAAAACACGTGTAATAGCCTTGAGAGAAACAAACAGTTCTTTTTTCTAACTTTTAAAATGGTTATGTCTAGGGAAGTGACTCTTTAGATCGACTGAACAAGGTGACATTAATGGCAGCAAGTCAACATTTTGTTAAAACAAGCATTAGGACTCCCTTAAGAAAATAATTTTGGTGGTATACCTAACCATGCACTTTATGTGAGAAGCTCATCAATGTTCATGTATCTCAAAGGAGTTTTAATTTCTTATTAAGCGATGGCTTGTGTGACTTTCTGTATGTTGTGGGTCTCAGAGCAGCCTTCCGAGAACCACCCCCTCTCTGCTCCTGGCTTCTCCTCTGAGGATCTCCAGGAAACCCAGTTTGGTTAGAAATTCCAGCCTCTGATGATCCGTGGGCTGCACCTCACAGAAGACACCCTGAGAACCTGCATACGAGCACAAACAGGAAACATCCATCAGTCCTTTCCTTGTGTTTTCAATGGCTGCAGAATAAAAGAAAGACAGTACAAGAATTGTCTATGTTTCTCAAACAAAGTGATATGCAGAATGTTATTAACAGTGCATAGAAAAGAAGAACATCGAGGGGGAAAAAATGACTGATGATGATGATTTGATGTTTATTCTCTTTTTACAAATGAAAATTAAGTTTTGCATTAGTGGCAAGGTGCTGCCTCATATCACCAAATATGTTTCTTTTAGCAGCTAATCTAAACAGGGACAGCAACTGTTCATAATGTAGCAAATGTCTAAGTTGTGATCCCGAATATTTTTTTAACTATTAAAAATTCTCTGACTTTATTCAGCTCTCAGCGCAGCAATGATTCGGCATGAAATGAACAACTCCCACATGGGGAGAGGTGTCCTCATTTTCAAAACAGGTGTTCTTCTTTCGTTGGGAGAAAACAACTATGTTTTTTTTTCTTGCTTAAGAAATTATTTAATCATACAATATATAGTATATACAATATATTCCTATGTTTGACTTTGACAGGCTTAAAAAAGTATGATAAAGCAGCTTTACAGTTAGGTGAGGCAGTAAGCACAAAACTACTTGGCTGTCAATCTAAATGAGCTATATGGACAGGGAATTTTAAGATATAGTGTAGGGTGTTCCGGGTGGATCATCAAAATAAGTGGCCCTCCTAATTGTCAATCATCCTGGTAATATGTTTATCTAAGGCCGTGTTCTTCCCTGTTTTCACTTACCAATAGTGAGTCTGACATAGAAAAATTGCAAACCTTCTTTTGGTAAGTAAGCTTGTATGACCGATGCAAGCAGCGACTAGGAGTTCCTTCTCAGGGTCATACGTGTGCTTTTTTTTGAGTGGGGAGGGCGAGTCTTTTCAAAAATTTGCGAAAAATCCTCCACTATAACTTTAATAATCCAGAGACATTCTAATACAAAGCCAGCATTTTTATTTCAAATTATTAAATCTTTTTTTTAATATATTTTAATTGAACTTTTTTTAATTTTCCTATGCTCACCATAAAAAAGCTCTTTAAATAATCAAAAGAATAAAAAAATGACACTACAAATCCCAGAATATTTCTTTTTGACATCAGAACAAAGCTACTTTGTTTTGGCTTAAGGCATTACAGTAAGTCCCCTAAAAATTTATATAAATTCTGAGAAAAAATTCTGAAAAGTTGAACTTGAATGCACACTTTAATAGGCTGCTAATCATTAAAGGCATTAAAAAAACAGCAAGATAAGACATTTTTTATATATCTAAAGAGAATAACATATTCCCATTTAAAAAACATGAGAAACACATTGCATCCCACTGTGAGCTCACCGTTGGCTTTGAGAGCAGTGAGCAGGGCGGTGAGCAGCGTTCGGCTAACACTGATGTCCACCAGCTCAGGAAGTGCATCCAGACGCAGCTGGGAGGGGAAGTGATAGAGGAGCGAATCTGGGTACTCACCCTGGTCCTCCTCCATAAGTTGGACCAGTTCCTGCTCAGAGAAAAGCAAACATTCATTTCAGTTAAAAATGTTACTATACGTTATCACTTTATTTATAGAGAAATTAAATGACTTTGTAATTCCTCGTTTTTTATTTGCTTGATTAGTTTGTAAAGATCTCTAAGACAGATTATGTTAGATACTCTAAGATCACTCTCTACATAAAACTACAGAAAATAAAAGGCATTTTACTGCAAACAGTAACTAAGTTTCCTTAAGAAGTGCGCTTTGCTCTGTCACTCTTTATAGATCCCTTCATAGTTGCGTCTCCAGCCAAGTGAAGTCCAGCTGAACACTGATATATTTATAATCCACCCCCTGCACTTCTTCTCCAATAATTATAATAGCATATTCTTCTGAAACCTAATTCTTCTGAAATCTACAATGGGCTTTTTTATCCCCATACATGATAAGATAATTATTTCCACATTATGGCACAGACTGGTCAACCTCCCTGTACGTGGCTTCTTTCCAATGCACTCTACGTCTATTTCCGATGCACCCCTGCAGAGCCATCTATTTCTGTAGATGACAAGACTGTCTAGCATGAGCGTAGGTTTGATTTCAACTTTAGTAGGGACACTATTGTTCTAAGTTTTATTGTTCAGATGTCATTCATCCTATTCAAACATATGCATACTCTTTTTCTTTTTTATGCTTGACGTGAGCATCAGGGTCCATATCGTTTAAAGCGAAAAGCAGCATTTCTTGCTAGATTTATACAGATTTTATAAGCACTACACACACTAGATGCTGTTTATCAATGTTTGAAGCATCACCGGCTCTGATGAATGTGGAATTAGGACTTTTTTCCACTTTTAAAAGGTTTGCATTTGAAATTACCAGCAACTAAGACAGTAGGTAAATATGTGCCTATTTAACCAAATATAGTCTAAATATGTCTGTTATATATGGATATATCCTGTGTTTTCTTTTGAATATATAGAATTATGCAGAGGTTAACAGTGGTAAAACCCACTCTGATATGCTGATATTCAGTGTATTGTAAAACAAAGCAAAATAATACACTCAAGGGATGGCATATAAATCTATCATATTTACATGTGCAAAGGAACTAGAAGAGGAACTGATACTGAGAATTTAAAATATTATCTTCAATATACGTTTAGCACATTTCATGTAGTATTTTATCTAGGGCTAATTAAAATCCGCAGTTACTGCCGCAAATGCATTAGAATGTTGTATTTGCAGCTTAGCTACGATTGAACTACTGACAAACACAGTGGTAAAATGTAAACAGTTGCCAAATTAACACTCATGCACGCAATCACCAGACGTTGGAAGTAAATCATGTCATCTTTTCAATATCTTTTCAGCCAATTTTCGTTTGGTGGGAAATAATATGGACGAAAACTAAAAAAGGCTTAAACATTTGGGATCCAGAGACCCAATGTCCTGGATCACACCATCTGTTGTTCACAAGCACTGCTAACCCATTTCATTGCTTTTACCGCCTTTTTAATATGTCTTGCCTAGCATATGATCCCACAGCCATGTTTCTGTAAAACACAAAACTGCATTACTGAAAATCTACCTGGATCGTTGCTAAGCCTTGGAGTTCTTCAAACTAGTTTGGTAAAGATCAATACCCATAATGGGCAATGGAATCGATGCCTTGAGTTTCCTTCATCTATTTGTTCTAATTCCATCTGCTGTGCATAGTCAGCACCTCCATTTCAACTCATGTGGGGACTTGCAGAAGTACTTAAAAGTATTAATTCAGCTTTTATGATCTTAAACAGCTGTTATGTTATGTAATGCATCATAACATAATAAAAAGATGTCAGCAAAAATCCTTTCAGCAACACAGCATACAACACACAGAGGAGAAAAACGTCAGGAAGAAAAGAAAATCTGAACAAGAATATCAGAAAAAACTAGTAGAGCTACTCCAGTCTTCAGTCCCCTAGAGCGGTACAATTCTTGAATTATATACATAAGATATACAGGTTTACATTTTTATTGTTTATTTTATTATGCAAAATGTTGACTAATCAGTCAACATTTTGCATAATATGTGAAAGAAAATGTAAAAATTATCTTTATTACACTGAAGCCCATGAAAAAGTTAACTATTTGATCTAGAAAGAGCAAACAAAAAAATGATTTAATAGTAACTGATATCTATTCATCAGTATAAGTTAAGTATAAATTATCCTGCAGCTTGTCTGCTAGTTCAGGCATATGTAAATTAAGATTTTCAAAAAACTCCCTTTTAAAATTGATCCTATGCCGGAGGGTTTTTCTACCTTTTTTGTAAGGTGCATCAGAAGTTTGGAATGCAACACAACAGGTTAGAAATGCCTTTCTTATTTTCTGCCATTCAACATTAAAATAATTATGTGGAAGGAAAAAAAAATAATTCTGCCTTCTGATACAAGTGAAACATAGAAATGATTACATGCCAAAGCAAAACGTCTGGCATACACCTTGACTCACTAAGCCTTACAAAAATCGCAAATTATATTTCTGCTCTGCTAAAAATAGCTTACTACCGCACAGTCTGCACAATTTATGCTTCAACTACATGTTAACAGCAGGTAGCCAACACAAAACAATTGTGTGCATGACCGCTTGATTTCTTGGTAGGATCAAAACACATAGCGTGCTACGTTTGTTAGAATGAAACAGACACAAGAAGCTCCTCCACCTAATTTCAACATATTTACCAGAGTGTTTGAGTGTGTGCCGTTCCCTTTAGGTGGGTATTTATCTCTCATGGCAGGAATCCAGCTGCCCTGGCATCGCTTGGCAAAGGAGCGGACATCTAAGATGCCAAGCACACAGCCACAAATGCCTAGCTCATCTTCCAAGATGAAGCTGTACTCAGGGCTCAGTGCCAGACATGGACCAAGACACCTATAGGTGGTAAGAAAAAGAAAATATATTATTAAAGAAAGGTTATTGTTCTACTTATAAGGTGAAATGGTTCAGTCATGTGGTAACAGAATTAGTAAATCACCCAATCACATGGCAGCATTTCTATACATTTAGAGATCCAAGTTTTTAGCTGACTCAGGTTTCAAGAAAAAACAAAGAGAATTAAGAGATTTTAAAATAAGCTGTGCGTATTGGTGGCAGACAGCCTGGTCTTAAAATTTCAGACACTGCGTAGTGAGTGAGTTTGTTAAACAGAACCACCTCTCAGGAATACATATAATGGTCTGAAATAAAGGAAATATCCAACAACAGCCAAACCTTTAGATAAAAATGTGGACCTAGTGTCAGATATTAGATAAGAACAACTGTATAGGTCATTTAAGAAAACTTAAATTACCACTACAATCATCAATCGAGGCACAGTATGCAGAATGCCATTTCTAAATTTGCAACACATCATATTTGTGTAACCTAAAAAAGAAGAAGCTGGTCAGTGTAAGCAAATCACACTAATAAAAGTCTTGATTCTTAATCTTTGTCACTGTTTAACATAAATAAGGTGACAAACCTGTCCCCGATGACATCAGGGTGAGCCATAGAGGACTCTTGTCCGCCTTGAGTCCTCAGGTGAAGCTGGCGGACCATGCGATACAGCTCCACCTACATGCATGTCAATCAAAATGTAATCACTACCATTTCTGGTTTGATATTGGATTTTAGAAATAAAGCTTTTTTTAAGGCCTATGCTGAAACAGATTATTTTGAATCCGTCAAACCTTTCCCTAGAATGCACCACCAATTTTGAGGCATGTTCTTTAGGCAGATTTTGCTTTCTCTTCCTCTATTTACATGATAAAAACAAAACGAAAACAACTGCTTCACAGGTCTCAGATTAAAAACACAACCTGTTTTATTCAAGGTACTATTTAGATTAAACATAGCAGTCAACAGATTGTGTTCTGTTGACCTTTCAAACACTTCCTTTCATAAAACTGGTGGATGAAAAAATGAACTAAGTGTCAAAATATTATTTAGGAAGCGAATACAGACGTTTTGAAGGACTGGTCCGGTGTATCCTATGTAGCCTTGTGTAACCCGTGATTCATTTTGAGTCCAAGCAAGGTGGCAGCTCCGTGCTCAGTGGAAAAAAGGGGAAACCAACCAATCTAATTTGGCAGTGTTTTTTAACAATCTATATTGGTAAAAGGGCAACCAAATACAAACTGGTCACATTGGCCAAAACACTGATAAGCAGTATAGCAACTTTCCATCGTTTAAACCTGGTCTTGAAAAACCAATGGATTGGTGAGCTAAGTGTTACAGCAGACGCCACTTGCAAGAGCACCTCTACTTCAGTAAGCAATACTATTAAATACTAATTACAAACTCCCACATTATGACTAAATACTAAGGCTGTTTAAATGCCTGTGGAAGTTCTTGGGTGAGCTGAACCACATCCCAAAGTGGTCACATGGTATGGCACAGTGAGGCTCAGATGTCATCAATTTTGGTCCCTCCCCTAAATGAAGCAAGCCTCAATACATGCTTTGCGGAAACGCCCCCTCCACTACTCAACACACGCTTCGAAGACTTGGTTCATCCCATAACATCACTAGTTAAAGACAAACCAGTATTTCCAACAACCAGCAGGTCAAAGCTTTACCAATTCAGAGATCTGAAGTCTGCAATAAAAAACTCAGCTTTTTACATATTTAAACAAAGCATATTAAGTGGATGACTTGAGTTGAATGTATGCTTAGTTGTAAAAATTGTTAATTATCTCTTACCTTGTCTTTGCTGTGATAGGGTCTGATGTTGTAGAGACGAGAGGTAGGAAAGAGAGGAGGGGGATGAGTGAAAAGTTCACTGCTGCTGCCTACCGGTAGGAGCATCTGATTAAACAAGTACAAACACAAATCCAACAACTGGATGAGTTTCATGACTGAATTTGACAAAGATAAAGTGGGAAAGACTAAGCAGTAGAGGTAGACATAAAAGGATGAAAACATTTAAGCTACCTGCACCTCCCCTGACACTCCCCCTTTGAACACCCAAGGCTCTGAGTCCACTCCCAGCTGGTCTGCTCCTGTGGTCTTCCCACACCCTGTCACATCCAAGAAGAAAGTGTCTATTCATCATCACAGGTTAGTGGAGACAGAACCCTTATGGTGTTCTTGGGATGGTACTTCCAACCCGGTTAGTAGAATTATGACCAAAAAGTTCTATTTTGGTCTCATCTGAACACTTTACTTTCTCCCATTACATCTCTGGATCATCCAAGAGTACACTGGCAAACTTAAGACAGGCCTTGACATGTGCTTGTATAAGCAGGGGAACCTTCCGTGCCATGCATGAATCCAAACTATGATATTTTGGTGTATTACCAACAATAAGCTTGGAAACGGTGGTCCCAGTACTTTTCAGGTCATTGACCAGCTCCTCCCGTGTAGTTCTGGACTCATTTCTCACCTTTCGTAGGAACATGGAGACCCCACGAGATAAGATCTTACAAGGAGCCCCAGTCTGAGGGAGATTGACAATCCTGTTTAGCTTCTTCCATTTTTTTTTTATAATTGTACCAACAGCAGACCTTTTTTCACCAAGCTGCTTGCCAATTTATCCAAAATCCTATCCAGCCTTTTGGATGTGTACAATTTTATCTCTAGAGTCTTTTGACAGCTCTTTGGTCTTGGCCATGTTAGTAGGTGGATTCTCATATATGGTATAGGGTGGACAAGTGTTTTTATGCAACTCACTACCACAAACAGGTGCATCTAATTAAGGATGATAAATTAAGTGGAGGTGGACAAATTCAAGTCAATAACAGGTCTTTGAGGGTCATAATTCTAGCTAATAGGTAGGAGTTAAAATACTTATTCACAGCTGTATCATACAAATATATAGCTAAAAAATCAAATATTGTGCTTTCTGGATTTTTTATTTTTTTAATTTTTTCTCTCACAGTGGCCATGTACCTACGATGACAATTTCAGATTCCAGAAAACTTGCAAAATCGCAGGGTGTTCAAATACTTATTTTCTTAAATGTTTCAATTTCTACTCCTTACATTTTAAAAATAGATTCAGTTTTGTTTCATTTAAGCTCCATTTCATTATGGCCTGTTGGTACTGAAAGAAAAATAAAAATCATTAAAATAATTTGTTTCATGTGGACTGTAAATTTCTTTGTGGTTGAACTCGATACTGCTCCAACTTGTTCGACACATACAGAAATATTTTCAAGATGAAGCAAAGTTAAATTTGACACTGTTGCCATTAGCTAAGAAGATTAAGTATAAGGAAGTTATCATCCAAAAATCATTGAAAAATGTTTCTTTAATAGTTGAGTAAAACTTGTGTCCTTAACATTTTTGTCCTGCATTACTCTTACTTTTATCATTTTAGTAGTTTTAAAAATCGTACTTTTACACTCTTACTTCAGTAGAAAGCTTTAGTTGATTTCTACAAAACTGTAGGATGTATACTTCTACTTGAGTAATAAACATGAATACTTTTGACACCTCTGCTGTGCAGTCGCTGTAAAACCCAAGTAAACTGCCTGTGTAAATTCTAAGTCATCTGGGTCACGGCAACCAAAACAGGCAACTGGACTTTTGCTAATTTCTTTGAAGACGTTTTGACACCTATCCAGGAGTCTAAGTCAATGATGTTGGCTCACACCAGAGCAAAGTCTAGTTGGAGTTAACAGGATGGAGGACAAGCCCCTTTAACACATTTCAAATCAGATCCTTATGAAATAGCCAACTTTTCTTCTTATGTATTGTTGGAGCCTTTTGTTGTGTCTGGGCTTCGTGATTGGTCTTTTGAATTGTAATAGGAGTGCTTATGTAACTTCTTGGCAATGAGTTCCATGACTGAATGTAAATGCTTCAAAGCTGAAACAACTATCCTCCCTTTCTATTGAGAAATGGCTTTTTTATTTTCACAAAGATGGCCTCCTTGGCGCCCCTTTTAAACCATTAGTTAAAAAGTCCAACAAACCAGATAAAATGTTTTTTTTGTGCTTTATTTGTTATCAGCTTCTAAGTCCTCTTTACTACTGAGGGGAATGCAATCAATGTGCAGCACAGTGATTGAGATGTATGGCTGTGCTACTAATGTGTAACTTGCGTAAATATGCAGTTTAAGCGTAAAAATGTCGCCACCATGTTTGACTTTTCCATGAGGCTTTTTTTTTTACCTTTTCGTATTCCTCTTCATATTTCTACCCTTCAATATTTGTTCCTCACAGCAGAAATACGGCGCTGTCCCTTCTGCGCTAATTATTATTATAATAATTAAAGTTCGAATGAAGAGTGGCTAACTGCACGAGCTGCACAATGAGAAAAAGAAAAATGATAGACTACTCACAGTGAAAGCAGTTCCTCCAGGAGCCGAGGCTTGAGCTGTCACTCAGCACTCGCCCGTCTGCGGAAAACAACAAGAATGTGTCATTCAAGTATGACAACAACTCTAAGAGGGCTTGCAGCTGAACAACAGGTGTTCTAGCTTGTTAATATCAAACAGCTTTGTAATGTACTCTGTTCTTAATGCTAAGGAATTGTAAAATGGAGCTCTATGTGAGAAAAGAACAAGGACATTAGCTGCTTTTGAAACAACTGGAATAAACTCTCATATAAATGTTTAAATGCATACAACATATTAAAGACATATCTAACTTTATCAGTGTTTCTTTCTTTTTGTTTTATTTATCTGTTGCAGCACATCATGCATTACTTTCAGTATTACATACTGAAGTTAGAGAAGAGCGTAATGATTACAGAAAATAAAAGTCAGAATTATATCTGTAGCGCAATATATGAAAAAAGTCAACAACTAGTGAGATAAAATATCAAATATGAATATTTCATTGTTATTAAATAACTGTTTTCCCCTCCCACTATCACTGTCCTCACCCAGCCAGCATATGAAGGCTTTGGCCACCAGAGCGGTGTTCCTCAGGTCCCACACATAAGGGTACAGGTCATACAGCACAGCCCTGTTTGCTCCTCCCACTACGCTGCAGTGTAGCTGAGCTATGTCTTCACATAGAGATAAGAATCTGGAGGCTCTCCCACGCCACTCGTCAACCTGAGGACACCAGGGAAAACACAGTGATGCTCATCTGTGATGTTCTTTCGTTTATAACTACTGAGAAAGGAAATGTCATGAATCACCTTCTGAGGTTGTGGCTTCTTGCTGTTTGCACCAACTAGGTGGCAGTTTGACTTTAGCCAGGTTAGGTCTTGCAGGAGTTTCTGGGCTGAGGGACCATGCTCATGGGGGAGATAATGAAGACCAACGAGCAGCCGCACCTGGGCCTCACTTAGTAACCCCTTTCCATTGCAGAGTCCACGACCCTGTGTCCGCTGTTCCCGCTGTGCCCGGCCCCCACCAAAAGGTGCTGCCGACTTTGATCCTGCAAGAGGTTGACCTTGTTGCTGTGAACGTTTTTTCTCTCCTTCTCGTCCCTCTTTATCTGCTTTACTCAAAGGTGGGGATGAGGGTGGAGAGCTGGAATCAAGTGGGAAGACTGGAAGTTTTGGCACCGCGTGGGTGGCTCTGAAGGTGGAAGGACAGTCAGACCTGTCAGGTGTTTTGGAACGCGATGATGAGACAGAGGCACGGTGGTCTGCTTTTGAGTCCTGCCGACCTGAAATATTGATTCAAACATAGTTCTGTGGTGACTTTAAGTGGCGCTACTGGATACCCACTAAAATCAGGGGATGCAATATATAAAAGTAACGGTGATCTAAAGACCCACCTAGTTCTTTTGTTTGTACAGTCTTACCTGCTTGCAGAGGCTGGTTAAGTTCTTCCATCCAGTCATGAAGTGCAGCAGTTAATGCTCTCTCAGGACAGTAGTTATATTCCTCTCCTGAAATATATAACTTTAGTTAAATTGCTTGAAATTAAGGCTAGAGGATCATCACTTTAAAAATTTGGAGAATATTTGATGCAACTAATCATGCAGTTCTTCTTCACCAGCTTCCACATTGCTTGGATCTAAAAGGTACTTATATCAAATTGGCATATTTGAAATAACTAGTAGTTTTTTTCTGTTTCTAATTGCTGTTCTGAAGCCACTAAAATGTATGTTTGTTGTCTCCACTCGTTTCAGTGATATTTCCTTTCACAAAAACCATCTGAGCCTCCCAAACACAAAAGGAATGTTACTTCTTCCACCACCTTTCCATCACTACATAGAGGAGAACCTTAACCCCCTCAATGCTTTTCAGCTGCTTCTGTTTTTTTTTTTTGTTTTTTTATTCTTCTTCTATTCCCTATTTGTCTCCTAATCCTCATGTGTGTTTTCCCTGACATCTCCTGGATTTTGGTTTTCTGCTTTTTTTTGCTTTTGGACTTCAGCTTCAGTTGCCACCTTTGCTTATTAACTCTAGAAGTAACCACCTCAGCTTCTGTATCATCATTTCAGTCCTCTAAAACCTCCACACAACCTGACACAACAGCTATTTATTGACATTGCTTTGTTTGATTTGACTATAAATATTTTGTTTGTTTAAAATTGAGATGTGTGTGTAACATTTTCTTATCAAGTCATTTTGTTCTTATAACTTGAGGAAGAAAACACAATATGATATAAAAATACTGTGTAAATTGCAAAAATGAGATATGAAGGACTACTTAAAATGTGTTATTCAATCTCTATAGAATAAATAATTAGTAATAATGTATGATAGTGGAACACATTAAGACTATAAAAAGCTACTTTAAATGTTGCAACTACAGAAAATATGTTCTGAATACTGTTAATACTATTTCATAAAGAATAAGTAGGACATTCCAGAAACAGAACTAGTTTGTCTGAAAATCAGGAATAAAAATAAGTTTAGTCTGTTGGTCAAAATGCCTGATTGAATTGCTTAAACAGACCGATTAAACAGAAGGGCATTTTGTTACCTTGTGCATCATCCTTTTCAGCTCTGTACCAGCTGCCCAGAGTATGCAGTGGGATGTAATTGGCTTCAAATTCACAGTTGGGATTGAGCAGCAGACCCCTCAGGTGGCTTCTAATGTGAGGGTCACGGCCCTTGAAAGGCCCCAGAAAGAGACGTCGGGTATCATAGTCATTAGCGTGCAGGTTGTCCCATATCAGTGGGGGGCGCTGTAGGACTGACTCCAACTCAGCAAGGCAGTCTAAGGACAATTTCCTGGAAATTACTTTGCTACCTGTGAGAAAGATAAATGGAAAGGCTGTCATTTTGATGATAGACTAATTTCTGAGGTCTTTAAACTATTATTTGCACATCTAAAAGATATTATTAGCAGGTTAAGATTGACATCTGAGAAGACCAGTTCTCTGATGTTCTTCAATTAAATTCAGTACAATTCAGTTTATTTATATGGACCCAATTAACAACACATGTCATCTCAAGGCACTTTACAGATAAAAATACAGTCAGATTGGTTTAAAGTTAAGCAAGCAAAACCAGTTGATTGCATCCAGTCACTGACTTGCAAAAAATGCTCCTCCTGAATGAGCTTGCAGCGATGATTTTTGCTTGATCTTTGCCCCAAATAGGATGGTTCCTCTGATCCACCAAACAGTTTGACATTTGAATTTAGCTATAACCCACTATGGTGGTTCAAAGTCATAAACACCATGTAGTAGAAAAGTATCCTTAGGGTGTATTAGTACATGAAGGCCCTGGCACACCTTGACTTACATACAAAAAATCTGGCAAAAATGCTGGCATATATTGTATAAGTTATCGGTGAATTTTGTATAAGATGCTCCCACACAGAAGCACGCTAGAGCACACTGAAAAATGCTGGCACAAGTCAACATATGGAAGGTATGAATACTCAAAATTTTCTGACGTATGCCATACGTGGAGCATAAGTTACAGGTAAGTTATTTGATCATAGACATACGCTACATATGTTACTCATAAGTCATGGCGTCTAGCTTATCCAAAACCTATGAGTAACTTGTGAATAACTTATGTGTAACTTGTTAAGAACTTATCGCCAACGCATATCAACGTTTCTCACATGTTTTAGATGACCACTGAACATGTTTCTAACTTATAGCTACTGTTTAATGGCGTTTTGGTATGAAAAGGAGTTCACAGGAGGAAACCGTCAGTACTCCTCCAGACTTGATCCCCATCATAGGGTGAGCCAGAAGGTGAGTGTGATGGTTCCTTGCTGTGTTCACGCCCACGGCCATGACCAACAAACTTCCTAGCAGACATGATGCTGAATCTGCTGCCACTGTAAAACTTCTTTATTTCTTTCTTTCTTTTTTCTTTCTTTTTTCTTTTTTTTTATTTATTCTTTTTTTTTGGGCAGGTGGTAAACAGCAGCTAGGTTAATACTGGGATCAAAGAAATCCCCTCACGAGCAGCGATTTAATTGATACTACGTAATGTCCACGAAATGATGCTTGTGCATCATTTCATGGGCATTACGCTGCAGTGCATTATGCATAAGTTAGGCTGTTGTTAAACATAAGTTCTGGAGTCATTATGAATACACTATGCATACAGTCTAAATTGAGAAAAAACATAGAAAGTTCAGGCTACGCCAGTGTTTTAGGAGATTCTGAGACGTCAGGCATATGCTGGCTAAATCGGCAAGGTAGGACAGGGCCCTAACTAAACGTGCATTGGGTTGGAAAATAACCCAAACAAGGTTGCTTTATATATTAGATATTTTAGAGTCTATAGCATAGGTATAAAGTTTTTAAATAAATCTGTTTTGGGAGAAAGTTGTTTCCTCGTGAAAGAGGGCAGATGCCCACATAGGCAAAGGAATGGCAAGTTTATTAGTATAGCACAATTTAGTACAAGGACAATTGTTTCAGTACAAGGACAACTGTTTAATTCAAAGTGAATTAATTCAAAGTGAACAATAAAAGTAGAAAAAAAGCAAATCAGGATCAAATCAGCTAGTAAAACAAAACAAAAAAAAAGCTAGACAAAAACATTAAACTAATAATAATACTTCAGTATATAGTTTAAGTTCAACAGCCAAAGGAAATTATAAACAATTGTTTTTTTTTTTTTACTTTTACTTAAAAAGCTTTGAGGACTTTTACAGTCATCTGGAAGTTTTTTTCCGGATACGTGGAACATAGAAACTAAATGCTGCTTCTCCATGTTTGGTTCAGCAGCAACTTTAAACTTTCTCCATGTTTAAAGCAGACACTTGTTTAAAGCAGACACTTTTTAAAGCAGACACACAAATGTCCTGAAGCCTACAGGAAACCAATATCTTCTATGAAATTCACACCTGGGTTTATAATCTAAAGTCAGAATCTCAGCTAACTTTGAAGATCTTAAAAGAAAATAAAAAAAACTGCTTTGGCATCTTAATAATCACATGTTCCAGGGAACAACATAAATAAAGACCTGTTAATGAGTTACCCAGATGGAAAGCATAACCTGCATGACATAACTTCCTCATGCCTTTGGCAGCAATACAACTGCCACTCCTAGCAACATTCCTAAATGCATAACAACTTTATCTGCAAGATTCCTGCAGCCTGCGTAAATAAATCAAGTCAGCAGCTGTGTTGAATATTGATAAGAGAAATCACATAGCAATTAACCTAATCTAGTTTGATACCACAACAACAAAAAACATCTGAGACAGCAAGATTACACATCTTTTTTTTTTTTTACCTGTCCATATCACTGTTATGTTAGGTAGAAGGTCTTCTCCAACTGTTTGCAGGTAGGGAGATTCAGCCACACTTGGGGAGCACAGAGAACCACAGTACTCTAACAGTGAGAAAGAAATAGAAAATAATGTTTCCTGCTGTGAAAACTCATTGGTGGTGTTTTATGTAGACTCGACCTGAACTTTACCTGTAGGGCAGAAAAGGAAGACAGGTGGCTCCCCCAAGAAGCGATAAATCTCATTAGTTACTGTGACCTGAGCATGGGCAAAGGAACTGAAGGCCTCGCTGTCAGCCTGGCACATGGAATGATCAATGTCGTCAAAGAGAATGGCATATGCCTGGCACCCTAGATCTGATACCTGGCAGAGGAAGAAACGAAAACAAGTTAGCCTCTGGCTGACTGAACAGGTAGGTGTGTTTCTAAAACTTTTAAGAAGGATAACAAGCCTGTTTCAGCTTGCGCTTGAGCAGCGTCATGTCGCAGGAAGAGGAGAAGACAATGTCCTGACCAGGAGAGAGCGCATAAACAAACCTCAGACCCCTGGACTGGGCTTCCACGATAAGAGTTTGCAACTGAGCTGTGAAGAAGAGCGGGTAAAGGAAAGGAACAATTCATAAATATGAAAGTTAAAGAGATTTACACCAAACCTGGTAAATAAAATGGTAGAGAAGGACCTATGTTAAAAGAATAAGAGGACCCTTTCAGCAAATTTGAAACCTCGCCCACAGGTTGAAGTCCCGCCCACTTCCTAAACCCCCCACCTACTCCCAAACACCACCCCATGCGCACCCCACCTCCTCATACACGCACACATAAATTATCTCCATTATTACTATTATTATTCTAAATTATGCAAAGGCACATTGCTTCTTGCTTTATGTTCTCCTTGTTAATCACTGCCTCAAATGCTATAGTGATAGACAAACCTAGATCATAAAAATTCTAATACATATTTAATTTTAGTTAGTGTGATATATTAACATTATCGTTTTCTTTCTTTATGTTGTACACGTAGAGCTCTAATGAAGACTGAGAATCCTTGGGTTGACTGTTACGAAGAGGTAACAAACAAACAAACTAGGCTGCCAGTTCCTTCTCCTGCTCTGTCCATTTAAGTTTAGGGTAAGACTCCCCATCTTGCCTGCTGTTGGTGGTCAGACCACCCAAACACCAGACGTCATTTATCTGTTGGTTTTAAGGCTAAATCTGGTCCGTCCATCATAGTCTTGATTTAGTTGGTGAAAATTGGGCTTTGTTCAGTCAGTCTGACTTTGTCCCACTTTAGTCCAATCAGAGACGTTGAAAAAAACCCAGTTTTCAACAGCTTTTCACCTTTCAAATTTTTAACCGAAAGTAGAGGTCGTTTGGAGGTAAATCATGTCATCTTTATAAGTTGAAATTTTATTTCCAGCTTATTTTTTGCTTCGTTGGAATGGCTTGGTGATGCTGGTTTAAGCAGGCTAACTTCTGTGGGTCTGCCCAAGACTACAATGCAGCTGCACACTGCCTAGACCATTTACAATTTCCAAGGATTTTGATAGGCTAAAAAGGCCCAAAATGCATTTTCTCAAAAATCAAATGGCCAGTTTAATATTTAATGACTGTGGAGGACAACAACCGAGGAGTATTGCAAGGTTTTATTTTAGACCCTTACTGTTTTCTTTGTAAATGCTGGCCCTTGGGTAAGCTTTTAGAATACGTAATATTTTGTTTCATGTTTGACAGATGATCTACAAATGTATGTGGAAATTATGTTTAATTGTCCTACAGAACTGAAGATAAATAACAGAAACTGTGATGTTTGGAAATCGCTGAGTAGCTATCATCAATCTGCTTAAAACCTTGCTGCTATTTCAGACTCTTTCATATTTGACAAGCAAATAAGCTTAGTTATTAAATCTAGATGTGTGTTCTTACTAAAGTTATGGTTTGTTGCGTGAGTAGCGTGATGGAAGTATAGAATGAAAACACAAACCTTCTTCTTCCGGAGAATAGACTTCCCTCCACAGAAGTCTGTGTTTCAGGTCATCTTTGGGACCGTACAGGTAGGTGTTCAACCCCCACAGCTGCATCCTGACAGAAATGTACAAATGACAATTTTTGTCTCACTGCTGTAAAATAACAAAACAAGCTTCACTAAATTGATCTAAGAGGCTGATAAACATCTGTCATTTAAATGTAATGTCAATAGAGAGGTCAGAAATGTGTCCCCTGAATATCTTCTAAACTGTGCCGTTGCTTCTGTTGACTTTATTTTACAATCATGTAAAACAATTAGGACACCCTATTACATCGATTCTCAATCTTGACCTGATTCTTCACAGTAAAAGAAAGGAATTTATTAAAGGTAAAAATAAATACATATTAACCATGTTTAACGCAATAACCATGTTAGGGTTCCAGTTTGTGGGTTGTTTTACTGTGTTTTTCCTCTTCCCACCACCAGGCGGTGCCGTGTCCTCGTTGGGCCTCCCTGCACACCTGCGGCTCGTTGGGTCATTACCAGAGGAGTACTTGAGCTGCGGACTGTCACCACCTTGACGCCAGAGTGTTTGCCAGTATTGGGTACTCTAGCCTTACTGAGATTAGCTGAGTCTAACCTTTGCCTTGTCTCTCTGAGTCTAAGCTTTGCCTTTGACTTTGTTCTCCGGTAGGATGTCCTCCTGATCCACTGGATAAGCCTGGTCCTTCTACCCCCCTTGGAAGGAATAATTTGAGTCACACTAAGCAAGGGGAAACCTTCACCAGATCTGTTCAAGTCAACTTCAGGAAAACTGGTCACAGTCCGTTCCATTGCTCTTTTGTACCCAACACAAGTCTGCCTGTCCGCCCTCCAACGTGTTCATTCATCTCAGGATTAAATCCCCCCACAAACTGGACCCAAGGAATACCAAGAATCCCCCTAAAGTGAGTCTTCTCCAGCTATTCACCAGTCTCAGTCATTTTCCCTACGGACCTTGAACTGATCTTTGTGATCTCCCCTTCAGAGTTTCCGGTTCCGGTTCACCAGACCGCTGAAGTCCCACAGAGAAAACCCTGCAAATTATCTCTCTCTCTGTTTTTGTCAACCTCTCAATAAACCTGTTAACATTTCCCCTGGCTCTGTGAGTTCTCTCACTGCTGGTGCCTCGTCAAACTTCCTCCAACTCCATCTCTCTGAGTCTTCCTCCTTGTGATAGTCTTCTCCCTGATGTCTCCATGGTTATGGTTTGTTTGACTTTTTCATGTTTTGATTTTTTTGGATTTTTGGATTTCCTTCCTCCCTGTTCAGTTGTTTGTTTATTCATCATTAAATCATCTAGAAACTCACCTCTGCCTCCCTGCCTCTACATTTGGGTCCACAAACCTCAACCAAATCCTGACAAAAACTAAAGGTTTGAAAACATTACCGGTAGTTTGTGTGTAATTGCTATTTCTACGGCCTAATGTCCTTTATTTAGTGAGTTAAGACTATTAAGTTATCTAATTTTTAAGATTCTATTTCACTGAGCAAGACTGTATAGCAAAGAAAAAAAAAACAAATAGCCAAACATTAAGTCTTAAGCAGCTACACTAATATTTTAACCAATAGTACTGGTGCATTCAGTGATAATGAAACATCTTAATAAAAACCCTTTATGGACTTTTTCAAAAAACAGTTTTTACATCCATTTTCAGTGCTTTAAAGGTTCTTGTTGTCAGTGATAATTCTGTACAAAAATATGTTTGGCAGAGAGAGGAGAAAATGACTAATAGAACAACAAAAATCCAAACAAAAACAGAACAATTGTCTATATCAAGGTGGAGTCACTGACGGAAAGCAAGTTCCTGAATTATAAAGAGAATAGAATGTATAGTAGTAGTAGAGATTAAACAAAATCTACTTTAGTGACCCTTTCATTTAACCAGCTTCTCTGTTTTTGTCTCTGTTCTGTATGTTCCTAGTCATCTCTGGCACAGAAGCGATCTTAGTCATTTCACCCTTCGGTCCCTGGGCAGATGGCATGATAGCCACCTCCACAAAGTGCCAACCTACGTACCTACAATACATACGATTACGCAAACACAGATACTGTGCCACTCACAGTATCACTCTGCCAAATCTATTAACCACTCAAGTAGCTATGTTGGCACTCCGCATTTGAGTCCCAAATGAAATGTCTCTATTATTAGATTTTGAGCCCACACTCTCAGCTGCTGGTGGAGTTTTGGAGGTTCTCAGAATGTCTTCTAAAC